GTCCCCCGTTTTCCCTCCCTCGGGCCGCCGGGTCTGGGTGGCGGCCATCAGCGCTCTTAAAGGGAAAAGAAGCTCACGCGGGCTTGCTTCTCTCCCCCCCCTTGGCTGGGAGGAAGGAGGGGGCACCGGCGCCACTCCAGCTCTCAGGGGGTCACGGGCTGAGGCCTGAGGGCTGCACAGGTGGGTCAGGGCCTGCCAGGGCGAGGGGCCCCCACGGGCACAGCTGCCCCCTCGCCGCTGCCAGGGGAGCAGATGCTGGGGGCTCAGGGAGACCTTGCGTCTGACCTGCCTCACCCGCCCAGCAGCTTCCCTGAGGCCATGTCGGGTGACCCTCCTGAACAGGGCTCCCAGCCACCACCCCCCTAGCGTTCCACAGGGCGCAGCCGTGCCAGGGCAGCCGCGGTGCTAAGCCCCCACGGCTGGCACTGGGGGCACCAACACAGCAGCTGTGATCAGGGCCTGGGGAGCAGAGGGAGCCCGGCACTGTGGGGCCTTGTCCCTGGGGAGCAGCGATGGGGACACTGGTGCCTCCCTTGCCTCTGCCCACGGGCGAAGGCCCAGCTCCCTCCTCCAGTGGGTTTCTCTACACCCACCTCTCTCCCTTTGCCTGAGACAAGGCTCTGCCCCTGGCGTGGCCTGATCCCTGGGGGACACCCACAGAGTAGGGAAGCCACCCCACCGTGGTGGTGGCAGAGCCTTGGAGGCTCCCAGAGCTCTGCCCTGGTCCTGGACCTTGGGATCTGAGTCTAACTGGATGGCCCCCAACCACAGGAGGGACCGCCTGGCTGGCCTTGTTCTCGGCAGTGGCCGGGTGCCCAGCCTTCCAGAGACCATTGCTAACCTCCTCCATCCCCGGGGCACCTGGGCTCAAAGTCCTGTTCAATGAGAAGCTGCAGAGGCAGTGGATGGAGCACCTACCCAGGAGTGAGACGGCCTGGACCAGCCAGGGCCTGGGCAGATCACCACCCTCTCTGTACCTTGGACACCCCCAGCAGGAGACTCGAACACCCTAAAGGGGCCAGGCTGGTCAGGTAGGGCACAGTGGAGAGTTTGCAGGACTGTGGGAACAGAGAGCCTGGGCCCTAAGACGAGGCCGCACGTCCGCTCCTGCCAGTTGCTGCCAAGAGGGTAAAGGCCTAGAGTTCCGGAGCTTCTGACTTTTCAGGAGAAGGAAATCCAGATTTGTGCATGGAATGTCCAAAACCTGAAAATACTGCAGGACAGAGGAAACCCGTCCTTGCGTTGAACCCAGCTGGTGGCCTCCCAGGTCGCAATGTCTTGTACACATTAGCTGGTTAGTGTCGAAAGAGAGGCAGGCTTCGGAGGGACCCCAGCCCCAGCCTAAGCTCTGAGAAGGAAGCCCCGTAGACCTGGGGCACAAGGAGGGAGGGGAGTTTGCACCTCACATACCCACATCACAGGGAAGTGTCAGCCTCCACACGCTGAGCCCTGCAGGCAGCTGAAGGGGGCTTGCCTCCCTTGCACCAGATCTACTTAACTGAGCTGATCTGAAGTTAAAATCTCCCTCAAATGAGGAATTAAAACTGCTGCATCCACAAATCCCTTGGGAAACCTCCCTGCCCACTCAGGCTGTGCTAGTGGTGCTCAGTATGTAACAAAGGAGAGACAGGATGCAGAAGGTGAACTTGAACTTGAACTTTCTTCACCTCCCAGGAGGCAGAGCTGCCATGAGTTATGATAGCCTGGGTCTATTGTTGCACTAAAGGGTGGGCTCTGCAGTGAGCCAGGCCTGTGCTCAAACCCCACACTGCCCCCTGCTAGCTGGGTGGCCCTGGGTGAGTGACCTCACCTTTCTGATGTCTCAACTGTCTCACTCATCAAATGGGCTTAATAATACTTCTGTCGAACTGTTGGGAGAATTGTGGTACCTGTGTGAACCCTTAGCGCGGCACTAGCACACAGTAGGCACTCAATAAATGTTAGCTGCCGCTCTTTTGCTGTAGTTGAGGTGGACTCAGGCTCCTGGTTCTTCTAACACATCCCCTGCTTCTCAACAGCTCAGGGATTTCTCTCTCGCATCTCATGTCAGCTTCCAATTGCTTGCTTCTCTCCACCTTTTGCATTTCTTTACTTATCCTAAAAGAAACAGTCACCGAGCCCCTTCCCTGTGCCTGTAGCCCTGTGCTGAGCACTAGGGGTGGAGAGAGAAGTCTGACATGGGCCCTACCTTGAGAAGCTGCTGGAGGCCCCATGCAATTATATAACCCCGGGATAAGTTTCTCCGAGCTAACTTTCCATCTAGAGACAGTGTTTCCTGCACAGTGCTCCTGCTGTTGGCCGTGCAGTCTTTGTTGCATGCCCCCAAAGACGAGCAGCTCACCACCTCCCTGGTGGTGTTGCTGCAGAAGCTGTAGGAGCAAGCCTGCTACGTGTGCCTGCGTTTTCACTAATCAGAACAGATGTGGGACAGGTCTACAGCAAAAGCTCTGGGGCTGAGGTATCTGGTTTTACCAGGGGAAACACACAGCTGGTAAGAAGGTCCTAAAATCCTGGTAAGGTGCTGATTTCAGTCTCCAGGAAAAGCACTGCAAGTGACCGATGCATGTTTTCACAAAACAGCACCCCATTTCCCATTTTTACCAACAGCCCGTGTAGCAAGGAGAGGAAGAGAAGACATTTCTGAATGGGAAATAAAACAAACCTGGTACAAAACGCTTGCTGTTTTGGTTAGGAAACTGGAAAGTAAGGTTGAGGCGTCCAGAGCCTGGGGCTCTGTGCTGGAACCGGCTACATAATTGGCAGGGCCCAGTGCAAAATAAAACTGTGGGGCCCTTGGTTCAAAATGATTCCGAAACTTAAGATGGTGATTACAGAGCATTAAACCAAGCTCAGGCCCTTCTGAGGGCAGGGCCGTCCTGAGCATGGGGCCCTGTGTTGCAACACGCTGGCCCTGTTCCTCACCCGTGTTCATGCCGCGTGCCCAGGTCCGGAAGCACCCGCAGGCGACTCCACCGAGGGGGCATGATTGCGCCTCTTCTGCAACGATGTTTTTCCATTACTGATGTTACATGCTAATGTTAGAACATTTTGAATCTTCCCAAAGGAAGGAAAAACGTTTTCACCTGTGTAACCGTCCTCAGGAATGGCGGGTGGGAACACTTCACCCAGATTCTATGGAAAACATAATTTGAAACAAAGTGAGCATCTTAGCATCTTATTATATGTATCATTTTATCTTGTGCTTGTTTCACTAAATGTTTTATCACAACTGGTGCCCTAAGTCAGAGGATACTATTTGACAAGTCAATTTTTAATGACTATTTAACATTCCACTGGATGAATTTCCTTAATTAACCCCTTACTATTGGACACAGGTTATTTCCAACTATTTCCAATTCTCCCTGTTATAAACAACACTTGGAGGAACGTCTGTGTACACATATCTGCTTTCCTAAGGGAGCGAAGGCTGTTAGGGAGAACTTTAGGTTCTAGAAGCTTCTTGGGGTTATTCTGAGTTCCATCTCCCGCCTGTCCTGTTGTGAGGACACGTTAATGATTATAAAGCAGATAATGGCTACTCTTCCTGCCAAACTAGGGACAGGATTTGGGGGTCTGGCTGCCTCGACCGCTGAGCCTGTCAGACTGGGATGGAATGAGATAATGCTAACTGTTATCGAGCGTTGCTCAGGGGACAACACTCAATAGTGGTGAGGAGGCGGAGAGCAGCACCAGCGGTTAGGTTAGAGCCCCTTTGGGAGAGGAGGGGTCTGCAAGGCATCCGGCCACCTGAGCGAAGGCTCCTGAGGGCAGGCGTGAGGGCTGCTGACCCCAGCTCAGCTCTGCCCACCGCAGACGGGTGACGTGTGTGGAGTGAATATATCACAGGCTTGCCCTACAGTCTCCTCCAGAGGCATCTGGACGTGTGGGGACAAGGGAAGGTGATGTGTGGTTTCCTATTGCTGCTATCACAAAGTTCACTGATTTAGTGGCTCAAACAGTGCACAGTGATTGTCGTAGTCATGGAGGTTGGAAATCTGAAATGTCTCATGGCTAAAACCAAGGTGTGGAGGTTCCAGGGAAGAATCCATTTCCTGGCCTCTTCCAGCTTCTGGATGTGCCCATATCCCTTGGCTCACGGCCCCTTCTTCCATCTTCAAAGAGAGGCCTGCATCGCCCTTTCTCTGACCACAGCTGGGAAAGGTTCTCCACTTTTAAG